TACTTCAGGTTTGGGGACACTATCGCGGTTTATTTTCAGGTCCGAGACGGCTACAACAGTTATTACAGCTTCGGCACCATTTGTTTCGGGTTCGGAACCACCACGGCAGTACATTCCAGGTTTGGCACCAATACGGCCGTTCATTTCAGGTTCGGTACCGTTGCGGCTATCGAGTTAGATCCGGTACTAGCTCGTCGTCGGCTTGTCTCAGGCCCGGTATTGGTCCGGGGTCGGCATTGTACAACCTATTCAGGTCCAAAACGGGTACGGTATGCTGCACCGAGTGGGTTTGGTATTTTACTATTCCGGCTCCGATTTGGTATGGTGTGATGGCCACATTGGTTCGGTACTGTCGCTAGGACAGCATTGGTGCGGCAACCTCGGTCCACTATTGAGAGGGCCGGTAATGACCGCGGGTTCTAATTGAAACAGTGGCCGTGATGCGGCGCCGCGGGCTAGCGCTTATTTTCAAGCTCGGTACGACGTTGGAATTTCCCTGTGTGCCACTCTGATCTATTTCGAGGCAGCTGCGGTTTCGCCACGTTGGTTAGTGGCACAACACTAGCGAGTGGCACGTGGTCTGGACCTGCTAGGTCTATAGGCTGGACCTTACCTTGCAGTCGAGACACCAACCGCAGTGGGGACCGAGATGCTGGGGAGCTGAGGCAGGTCGGTTGGCCACAGGCTGCGGATATAGGAAGGGCAACTGGATACCGCTGGCCACTGTAACTCAGAATGGTTTAGGCTCGGAAAACTGGTTTGGACTCGTACGGTTATTGGTTAGGGATCGACACGTTGCTATATCAGAACGTTGAGGGTTGAGACCATACTACCGCAGCCCAGCCTGGTTCGGCGTCACACATTCGATACTAGTCCGACAGGGTGCTGACTGGTCTTTGCTCTTTCCTTACTGGACCAGCGGCGGAACTACGGATTGGGAAATAATCGAATACTAACAACGGTCTGCTTTATGGACCTTGGTTCGGGTACCAAAGCAAGAAGGCGCTCCTTTTTCACTACTTGTCACATACCTGAAGTCCTACTATCCCGGTTACAGAGGAGGGGATTGTCAAAGTTGGCTGTAGTGGCGCTCTCTTGAGGCTGCAGCCTTCGGTACCAAGGATATAGGCGAGCTCAGTGAGACTTGTAGGAGGGAGGGGATTCCACGCATGCAAGGCGTACGCCGCAGATCTGAACATTCGGGCAGAGAGGGAGTCAGCATGCACGGTGTACCCGGCGTTGTGCGCTGAGGTTGTTACAACGGGGGCGAGCAAGGTGAACCCGCGACCGAAAGCACGGGCCTGAAGCGTACGCACTCGAGCGGATACTCCGCGTGTGAGAGGCGGTTGCAGCGGGAGCTGAGCACGTCGAGCTCAACGCTCGTGCACGGGGGCATCCGTTGTTACGTGAGTCTTCCATAGGGTAGCGCGCCAGGCATCCGCGGCCCACTTGAGCTCGGTTGGCTTACAAGCTTGGGGAACGGGAGGCGCTGTTGAGCGTTCTGGGATGTGCATCACGCGTGCGCCGCCTGCTGCAGTACGAGATTGGGCTCGCTCAACGGGTGCTCCTTGGGGAGACGCTCAGCGAGGGAAAGCAGGCATCAGGGAGCGGGACAGCTCGCCCGGTGTGCACAGTCCGTATCAGCGCTACTATCAGTGAGTGGTCCGAGACGAGCCGAGGGCGGCCGGAAAGACACGGCATTGGCGGAGGGAAGATGTCCCAGGTGCGGAGGAGACGACTGTGATGAGCGGGAGAGAATTTGGACGGAAGAGCTTCCCGCTGAAGTACAAGCGGGAGCTGCACAGTCCGCATCAGCCAAATGGAAGAGCGTGGAAGGCGCCCCCAACTTCCTGTGATGAACGTGGGACACTCGTATGAAGGCAGAAAACGGAACCCAGATACTCGCTTGGAGGTGAGAAATAGGCGGGGACGCATGACTGCGTTCTCCCTCAGCAAGAACATTCGGATAGGCGGGCAACGCACTCGGTGTAGACGCGCAGTTTCGAACTCCGAACCTCTAGGGAGATCGAGGGCACGGCGCGTCTCGGGGTAGGCAACAGAGGGATCACCTCGAAAGGTGGAGTGCAGCGGGGCGGGAGATGTGCGGAACTAGCAACAAAGGAGAGGGAAGTTGGCGCGACAGACTGAAACTTTCTCTAACGGGACGCTCGGCGAAGTTGGACGTGGACAGAACTTGTTACCAGCTGTTACCATATGAAGAGATGAACGCTCATCCCTGTTGTTGATGGCTCGAATTCTGGTGGCGAGATGATCTACCTTTCTTGTTGTTGACTGGACCAGCTTCCTTTCACACTACTTTTCCCGCCGAAGGGGGGGAGAGGCCTTATTTGCAATAGACGGGACACTTGCAGTTGACGAAGTGATCATCCGCTACGCTGTTTGCTTGGACAACCCTTTTTTTTTTTTTTTCCTTTTATCAGGTACGTGTGACTTTGCTCGATAATGGGCAACACCCAGAGCAGCCTAGGAAGGTTCGGTGCGTGAGAAACTCTTGAGGAAACGTGTCCGGGGAAGGAGAGAGAAGAGAGGGAGTAAGGGAGACTGTTCAGAGTGCGGGGGAAGGAACATCTTGACAGCGGGAGGTAGGGGAGTGTTTGTGCTGCATTTCTCCGGTGGTTCTGTGAGGACGAACGCTGGGTACTCAGTGACTAAGGCTCGCTCATAGGCGATACTTGAACCCGAACGTGGCCGGAAGCAACTCCTTCCCCGTCCTTTGGCCGCCTGATCAACCCAAAGACTCACTTTTCTTTTTGCTGAAACCGCTGTCTTCTGTTCAACGAACCAACCAAGGTCCACCAGTGAGAGAAAGCCGAGGGAGAGAGTGATCGAAAGGGGAAGAGGAAATGAGAAAGTTAGAGAGGGGAAGGACAGCGAGACGGGAAGTCCAGTGAAGTGCTTGGGGAAGGGAGATTGAGTAAGCGGAGGCGACGGAGAGGGAGAGTGGAGAAAGTAGCGGGCGAARGGGGGGGGGGGGGGGYCCCCCTTCGCTCTCATTTAATTACCCAGTTCGTCATTCCCAGCCCTACAATTATTTTATTGTTTAATTGTCAATTCAAATATTTCGTCATGTCCGGTGAATCAAGCATCTTTGTCGTCCAATGCAACTAACTGTTTCCAGTGATACAAGTCAAGTCTCAATTTGACGATGCACTTGATGATCGGTGCGCGAAAGCTTCGGATGTCTCGCTGTTGTTCCTCATCGTCCTTCAGGGCTAAGCCTTACTCAGCTTGCTGCAAATCTCACAGCACCTCTTACAAGCGCTTTGCCCGACTCTTTGCACTCACACTGGATTTTTGGACATAGACCTGTGTCTGGCGAGTGGTCAGTGTTGTTGAGCATTGCGAAACAGACTGAGTTTCAGGCCGGGAGCACACATGCTCGGAATCCTCCCGGGTGGGAACTCAAACAACCAAAGCAGATACTACTTTCCCCTTGCTGGTCGCTGAGGACCTCTGAAGCGAGGACCGTGAAGTGACAGGCATTGTACCCTCTGGCTTCAGCGACGAACAGGGGCCCCTCCCCGGGTTTCGCCACAACTTTGGCGACCTTGCCGGGGAGGGGAGCAGCTTAGACGGGGCGAACGGAGGTGGATAGAGTCAAGAACGGTAAGTAACAGCAAAGAAAAAAGAAGTAAAACAAAAATTAAATATTTAATTTCTTTAAAAATTTCGTGTAAAATACCATAAAAAGGGTTTAAGAAAAAATTTTCCGTCAAAGATTTTGCAAATTTTGAGTGAAGTTGACGGAAAAATTTTGGGACGGAATGAGTTTTGGAGGAGAGCGTGCGGTTCCGCAAGAACCTCCCAAAACCCTAGTTAGTTAAACCCTAATTAGGGGAAACCCTAGTTAGGGAAGACTTATTCAAGGTTTTTGAGTCGGATAACAACCTCAAGGAAGAAAGATAATATATGTGAAATATTTTGCCTTTTGTATTCTTCGGCATTTTCCCTTTTTTGTATAATTAATTTAAAGAAAATACTAAAAATAGGTGAAAAGAGTTAATTAAATTTTATTTTAATTCTAAAAATTCTGATGTCTTTTCTTTGAGGTTGTTGAGCTACGGGCGGAAGCTCCAAACCCCATCCCCACGGGAGGAGGGGAAATACTGCCCAATTTTCTTGAAATTTTGTGTAATATTTCCAATTAATTAGGAAATAATTAGAGAAAATACTCGAAAAATTATTAAAATTCAATATTTTCTTTTGATATTTTTTTCCTTTTGCTACACTCCTGCGGCGGCTGCTTTGAGGCCTTCGGCCACACCCCATCCCCACGGGGGGAGGCGAAGTGCTGCCGGATTTTTCGGGGACCCATGTGATAAAACAATTTTTGCCTAAAGACATACACAAGGGGCGTAAGTGTATGTATCTTACGTAAGCGAATTTTTTGTAAATTAAATACAGTTAAATACAGGAAAATCCCAAGGAAGGAAAAGGAGGAGGATATTGGAGTAGAAAGAGTTTAGGGTTGACCCCTCACCCCCTCTTAAGAGTTGGGGCCAGTGAAGGGAATTTTTCCTAATTAAAATTTATTTATTTAGTATTTATACAATAAAATTTCAAAATAAATAATTAGCGATTGGCAGAAAGCGAAACGCACTTGCCGCGCTACTCTCTAGGGGAAGCCTTGCATGCCTCTAGGCAGTGGTCGAGGGCCAGTAGGTTTCTAGAAGACAAAAGTAATTTTTAATAATTTAAATTCATTAAAATTTCCTAAAAATATAAAAATGGCTTAGAAAAATAGAGGCAAGAAGGTTATGGCCTTTTAATTTTTGTACTTAGTTAGAGGGTAACATTTGTATACCTGAGGGGTGATCGGAGCAGCCGCAGGCAGCGTTCCCTCGAACAAAGCACACACCTTATATTCGAGGGAACTTGACTAGAGGGCTTGTTGCTTTGTTTAGGGTCGGGACTCCGCCCTTTAGCACCGTACGGGACACTAGCGATAGTTAAGAGATAGATCGACATCGTAATATCGGGGCTCCCAATGAAGGGAAGCGAAGCACTGCCGAAATTTTCTTAGGAACAACAGTCTTCTCCTGCTACCTTTCACCTTCTCTACCCATCTCTCTTACTACGTTCTCTCTAGTCGTTAGTTGGATGTGGCCGCAAGCGCAAGTAGAGGTCTATGAGGCCACCATCGACAGGAACTGGAAGCCCCCTGAACTCATAGAAGGGGATCTGGTGGAGCTGACGATCCCCGGGCGCAGCGTTCGATACGTTGACGACCAGTTTGCGTGGAGGTCCATAGTCTTGTCTGCAGACGTGTGGCTTTGGACGCATAGAGAGCAACAGCCTGGACAGGGAGTGGGCGTAGTGAGAGCCTACTTGTTCTTGGGACCGAACGCGGTCAGGGAGGCTGTGGTGGGCCTCGCGACGACTGGGACTAGTGGCGCGATTAGCAGGGCGTTACGCTACCTGAGGGATGAGGTAGCCGCCTTCCGAGCGGAGGACTCGAGCGACCCGTTGACCCTATTTCACGGTCGCCCTCCTCTTGATATCACGGGCGAGCTGGTGGTAGCACGGGACCGGTTTTTCCCGTACAGCGTTCGGAGTCTGCGGGCGATAGTTCCGGCGTTCGTAGTAGAGAGCGTCTTTGGAGGAATTGGTGGAGTGGTCGAGGCATACCTAGCCTATCAGGATCTCAAGATCTTGGCGAGAAGGCCTGACGACCTCGACTACATCTATTATTCGCTCGCGACCGGTGGGCCTCGTCGGGGAGACGAGAGGGTGCAACTTATAGAGTTGATCTGGTTGATAGACGATGAGCGGCCCCAGTCTCCGTACGTTTGGGATTGGCTGGACCGTGAGCTCTGTGCAGGCCCCGAGTACGTGACCTGCATCGGGCGGCTCTTCTCAGACGACTGGGGGAGCTGGTGGAGTGAGGACGCCGGGCGACCTCTGATATACGGCCATCAGCTGGCAGAGTACTACCAGGCTATAGGGCAAGCGTCATACCACGTCGAGGACGAGTTTGACGACGAGGGTTGGGAGCGAGATGACGACGAGGACGCCTGGGAGCTAGACTGGGTCGACCCAGAGAGTGAGGTTGACGAGGAGGAGATCGACTTTACGGACACCCATTTCCCCAGGATAGGAGTAGCAGTCCGAGCATAGGATGCAGAGGAGCGCATTGGGACGACGGTTGAGTGAGCTTAGCATCAGATATCCACCGATAGCGGAGAGCGGATCGATGGTAGAGCAGGCCAGTAGGGTGGAGCTTGAGATCGACGACACCAAATGGCCTAGACCCTAAGAGACAGTAGCGCCACGCAGGGTGGCGCTAGATCTGCCGGCCAGAGGGGTTTCCGCGGATGCGATAGAGAGCCGATGGTCATCGACGGTGTTGGCCCCAGACGTGCACTTGTGGACGTACGTCTTAGAGTCCTTCGAGCTGGACAGTTAGGGGTGGCGACGACCTGGCACGACTAGTATAGAGGTAGTGGGGCACATTTACTACGCGCCAGAGGTGCTAGCTACTGTCTATTATCACGGCCTCGTACATGATCATTGGCGAGAGGAGCAGAGCGCGAGGAGGATCTTGCTGGCTCGAGCGAACTTCGCGCGCGGCGAGATAGAGCGGCTGCACGGGGACGTTCGGAGAGTGACGACGACCTTCAGGATTGGAGGACACTTCCCATATCCTAGCAGTCAACTACGTGTGACACTTCCGTGCTTTGTGGCAGAGGAGCTTTGGGGACTTAGGCGTCTGGGTGAGATCTACTTTGCGGCTCTTGACTTGGACGACCTCTGCCGAGGGTACACTGACAGGGATTGGGTGTTGTATGCGCAGTTTGTAGCAGGGCCGCTTGTAGGCGAGCGAGGACTCCAACTGATTGTGTTCCTGCGGGCCATTGTACCTACCGGGAGCCCTGACCTATACTCTCTGTACCAGCCCCTAGCCTTCTGGACGACACTAGAGAGAGAGGCTCGGAGGCCTGCAGATCATTTAGCTGGAGTAGGACAGCTGTTAGCCGAGACCCGTGAGGAGAGGCCGGGCCATCTCATCTCGACCGGGGAGGTTGAGGAGTACTACCGGCAAGTATATCCAGAGGCTGGCGATATAGCATGGTACGCTGAGGATCGGGATTGGGAGGACTTCGATGACTTAGACCCTTGAGACGACCAGGACGAGGGCTGGGGAGATCTGGCGCGGGTCGAGGGACAGGAGCAGGTAGGTGGAGAGGCGCCGCAGGAGAACGGCTGGGGGCATCTCCTTCAGGCCGAGGGACAGGAGGATATCCCGTGGGGCCAGAGGGTAGATGAGGAAATAGATGAGGATATGTCGGATGCGTGAGACGACTAGAGGCAGGGCATATCCGAGTGAGGCTTAGAGAAGGGAGTAGTGGAGAGATGGTAAGAAGATATCTTTAGGCAAGACTAGAGTGGCAGTAAGAGCAGGAAAGGATGACAGACGAAGCATGCCCTGGAGATATGTAGACGCCAGAAGTACGTCGAGTTCACTATCTACTTCCATAGAGCTGATGGGAGAGTTCATAGTACCTACTCGGCCATACTAGATCTGACCGGGAGAGTTGTCTGAGGAGTTAGCAGCATCGTGAGATAAGGTGCATCGGAAGGAGTAGACTGATATAGATAGAGAGTTGGAGGGGAGATGAGGAGTGACACAGTAGCCTGTTTAGCTTATGTTCTCTCACGAGAGTCCGAATCCTATAGCGTGAGGAAACTTGTGAGACCCAGAGAGACGGCTGTTGGATACGACATTCCTCTTCCTGTGGCGTTAGAGGGGACAGGCTGTATTCCAATACGTTACCTGGTAACGTGGCTGGCAGAGGGACTTTTCCTTTGGACAATTATACTGAGGGATGGACGACTCGAAAGGACTCATGATCTAGAAGGCGTGGGACATCTGATAGCAGATAGAGCACACGATTTAGAGGTAGGACTGACACTCGGAGGGGCAAGCAGGGCTTGGTGGAAAAGCGAGTTATTGGCCAGAGTGATTGTTAATCAGCAACTGGCGAGACTCTCAGGAGGAAGGACCTATTGGAGTCGCTTGGTATACAGGCCTCCTCATCCGACCCTCTACCCGAGGGAGGGTTGGCGATTTGGACTTCCTACGTTCGTAATAGGGCAGATCTATGGGAGCATAGATCGTCTGAGTAGAGCAGTGGACCACACATTCTACGCACATTGGGAGGGCTTAGCTCCCCGTTTCAGGGAAGTATACTACGCCATTTGTGTGAGGTGGGGACCACCCCGCAGAGAGACGTTAGATGACATCATAGACATTACTAGCTGGGTGGACTGTCTGAGGTCAGTCGATCTGATCAGGTACTGCAGGAGACGAGCGAAGATTGATTACGTGGGGATAGAGGATGTGAGATTTCTCTTCGAGCTCGTCGCATAGGGAATGCCGGGGAGGACGGCTACTGCGGTGCGCATAGATAAGCAACTGGTAAGCACAGGGTACACTGTGACGGTACTTCTCCGAGCATACATAGATGAGGACTTGACGGCGAGGGAGTGTCGGCTACGGGCCAGGGATTTGATCCATGAGCATAGAGGCGATGTGCTGGAATAGGTGACCTTCCAGACCTCGATTTCCTATGATGTGATAATATGGTCTCATGGTTATATGCGCGTGGAGTACTACCACGATGAGGCGGAAGCAGAGGTTAGAGCAAGGATACGAGGATGAGCTGGAAGGAGATGTGGACTGAGTATGGAAGAGGAGAGTGAGGCGGTCAGAAGAGTGAGAAAGCGCATTAAAGAACCACTCTTGAACCAGGTAAAGGAGTTAGGGAACAAGATAAGGGAGAACGGGTCGTGCCAGGATGAGGGCAGACTGCGTAGGGTTGAGGTCGTGACGAGAGGGTTAGAGAGTATGTTCAAGGAGGAAAGGGAGATTATCCAGGCGTGAAAATCAGACTTTCTAGAGAGAGTAAAGGCTAGGACCGTATCACGTGAAGGAACTGGGGAGAAGTCTGCAGAGGGCGTCACAATGGAGGACAAGGTAACGCAGAAAGGTAGCGATGGGACATGAGCGGGACAACACTACACACGACGGACCGGTACTCATTGCATGTGGTAGGACGACTGGACGGACCGTTGGTGTTAGTGATCGTAGAGTTCCAGCTCCATACCGGATTATGCATAGTTGAGGAGGCAGAGTACGTTCGCCGTGCGTTGCGTGAGGCTAGGGGAACAGGACTTTGGATTGGAGTGGAAGGAGGACGAAGGATAAAATACGTACTTCGAGTAACACCTTTCGAAGGGCGGTCACGGATAAGGGCGTGGTACGAGACGATCAGAGAGGCTGAGAGGTTGAAGATAAGTGAAGCCAGGAGAGCTGGGAGCTAGGGAAAGATATAGTGAACGGAGCAATACTTAGGGTCCTAGCAGCTCACGATGAATACTGGAGGGAATCGATAAAGACCTTGGAGGCCATAGAGGAGAAAGGAGATGAGGAAGATTTTGAGGCATTCTATGATATATTGGAGTTGTCGGCAATGAGATTGCGAGCGGCTATAGCACTGACTTCCCTCAGATGCTAGATAGAGGACCTTAAAGTTGTCTGGGGGTAAAAGGAGGAACATTGGTTGGGCTAGTCATTAGCATTCTAGCATTCTGCTTCGCTATCTTATACTACGTGAATGAGGTCAGTCCCGGTCAGGTCAGGATTTGTATCTAAGTCTTCCCTGCGCTATTCAGCACCATTTTGTATGTATTAGAATGCACATTGCTTGTTGAGATTCTACTTGCACTTCATTGTCCATTCAATCCTTTTCATCACATTGCGGATCCTCGGTTTCTATGTACATCGCCCAACTGGGCATGTAACAGTTGGTATCGGAACACCGCATTTGAATCAGGACAACCTGATCTGACATGTGTGCGGGGACTAAGTAGGTGATTAGTCTTGATAGATTGATTAGACCACACTAGTTAGCCCCCAAAATCACGATTTTGACCTTACTGCTGAAAATTGATTTTTTTTTTCTTTTCTTGGATTTGTTTTCTCGCTATTTCTGTTGTGGAAAAACGCAATAGCGCAACATCTGAAATTTCCATTTTTGTTTTTCTTTTGAAAATTCGAAATTTCATTGTTGAAAATCCGGAATATCTTTCTTTTCGAAAATTTTGATTTCCTGTTGCATTTCCCGTTATTTAAAAATCCGGAATACTTTTCTTCCGAAATTCGTTTTTCTGAAAACAGTACGGGAAATCCCTCCTGCAGGTATTATTTTCTAAACTGCGAATACTCTCATCTGACTCATCTGAGTAAGTCCGAATATTTGATTTCTTTTCGGAATTGTTTTTCGCAGTTCTAGGATTCTGTTAGTCAGTACCATAAATCATTTGTAGTCTGAAGTCGAAATTTTGTCTCTGATTGATCATTTCGCACTTCAAAGGAGGTTGGGAGACCTATGAACTTGCAATATTTGGGATTTTTATTATTTCGAAATTTTTTTGCAAAGTTCGAACTTTTCTTTTTTGATTAGTGGCTCTTTATCTGGGCGATTCTCCCCACCCACCCTCCACACTAATGTTATTGCCCCGTCTGGCCTTACCTTCTCTATCTATCTCTGGATACCCCCTACAGTGGCATTGGTAAGTTGCCACGTCAGCAGGCCATGTCAGCAGGCCATGTCAGCAAACTACGTCAGCACGCCACCAGACTACGTCAGCAGGCCACGTCAGCAAACACTGCCAGACAACAGTGCCACGTCAGCAGCAGGGAATACCACGTCAGCAGGCCCCCGGCCTGGTCTATGCTGTTGCGTTCACAAATAGCCGTCATGGACCAGAGGTCCGGAGAAGCAGATGAGGCCTATTACGCCCGGATGCTGGCCTGGAGTACCGAAACAAAGAGACGGGCGGATGACGCAGCAACAATAGCGAAGAAGAAGGCAGAGGACGCCGAGCAGGCACGTCTGCTGGCACTTGAACAAAAGCGCCAGCACGACGAGGCAGCAGCAAAGGCTGCTGATGAAGAACGAGTTCAACGGCGGGAGAAGATATTTAGCGGAGAGCGAACATTACTCACAATGACAGTTGAATGGCGGACCGAGGCCGAGAATGGTAAGATGGAGGATAGCGAGAATAAGATCGCTCTACTCCTCTCCCATCTCACAGACCTCCTGGCGACATGTATTATACAGCAGGAGGACATCCACAACCTCGACGACTCGCTGGCTCAAGTCCGGCCGCCTCCGGCAGTTGGAGCAGC